GTGGTGAGGGGTGGTGGTGTTGGTTGTTGTTCAGTGGTGGTGGTGCGATGATAGTCGTGTAGGTTGTTAGTGGCAAAGGAAGTGATGGTGGCTGTGGCGATGATGACGGTGGTGTGTCCTGGTGGCGGTGGTGTTTGACCAAGTATTTGGTTATCTGTGACCTAAAAATTTTGACAATATGTGACTGCAACATAATACGTGATCAACAAATTTGAAAATATGTGACCAATCAAATTAACTGTAATCTGTAAATTTTTAAATTTGTGACCTCGAAATCATCCGTAACTAATTAATTTGATAATATGTGACAAATAAATAAATTGTGACCTATAATTATATATCTGTGACTATTAATTGTATAATTGTGACCTAATTAATAAATATTTTTAATTAGTTATCTAATATCTGAATTTTGAATTTTCAAATTATATACCTGATTTTTGAATTGGTATAAACTATACACCTGATTTATGATTTTTTTTTCCCCCTTTTTTAATGATCCAAGATCATTATGTTGACCCGGCCACTTCCTTGAATTTCCTCCCATGCAAGTCTTCGTACATTTCCTCTGAATTAGTCACATCCCATATCTTCACATTTATATCCATATCTGGAGACAATATCAAGTGACCAAACTTGGGAAAAACCTAATAGACTGAACTCGGATAATTCCCCTCATGCTCCATCTGCTCCAACATCTTTCTTTTTCTCTAGATTCCTCCTCTTCTTTGCAGAAGAGCTCTTAAAAGATCGAAGCTCGGTGGCAACATGGTGGGCGAGAAGTGTTGAACGGTTGCTCCGGTGAAACCCAGGCCGTGAAGAGGGGTCTTGAGAAGGAAGCGAGTGGCGGAGGTGGAGGCCCTAGTGGTGGTTGTTGAGATCTTTGGGATGGCACAGAAGGCTGGAGAATTGGGTATAAAGGGATTTTTCGTATCGTCGAGTGGTGGCACTAGAGGTGGGGGGACTGGTGGTTGTTGAGATCTTCCGGATGGAATACAATGCTATGGTGAATCTTGAATCTTGAACGGAAGAGCATAATCGCAACGAGAAGGGAAGAGCGCAACCACGGCTACCACGTGTTCGTCGAAACCCAGTACAATCGCCATGAGAAGGGAAGTGCGCCACCGTTTACAGCCTAACCTACTTGCGCTCCAAGCAAATCGACTCCATTACCGGTTAAATTTAGTGCAAGAGGTGCGAGGAAAAGTTCGAAATAAATTTCAATTCACACCAAAACTTTAGGGAAGTCGGCTAATAGCCGAAAATAAAGCCACCATGCACGATAGAGCCCCCGGAGTATGGTTAGATCCGACTCTTCTCCCCTGCAAAAAGTATAATGAAGACAACATTGCAAAACCACTAATTTCTAACAAGAAGAAATTCATCAATTCGGAAAGTTTTAGAGGAATTGGGTTTTGTATTTTGGGTTTTTATCTTAATTTATGGGTTCACGATGGCGGCGGCGGTTGTGGTGAATGGTGGTGGGAGAGAAAGAGAAAGAGGAAGTGATTTATTATTATTATTATTATTATTATTATTATTTAGTTTTGATTTTTTAATTATTTATTTGGGAATCATTCGTAATTTTTTGAAAATTTTGGGACCATGATTGTAATTAGTTCTATGAATTTTTTTTTTATTTAAATGAAATGGTATATACCTTATTTCATAATTTTTTATTGATAAAATGAATGGCAGAGGGTATTACACACTAAACAGTTCAAACATGGACATTTTGTACTATTTTTAATGAGATTTTGGCAATTTGGCCAATAGATGAGGTTATTGTGCTGTTTAGCTATAAAAAATGATATACAATGTCACTTTTTCTATCATGGAACCTTAGTTCATATTTAACACAATAAAAATAAATTAACATCTAAAACAAATTCTTAAAAGCAAATTTAAAGTTTAGTCAAAGATGTATTGTTCTATTAAAAATTCATTGTGTGTGACATTTTCATTAAAAAGTGACATCACAAACAATGTAACTTGACTTTTTTCAATACAATATTTGATAAGAAGAACTTTACCCCACTATATTGAACCCAAACCCCATTCATGCAAAAAGAAAAATGATATACAGATAAACGAAATACATGCTTGAGAAAGATTATTAATGTTTATGTGACATTAATAAAACATAAAATCAAAAAAAGTGACAAAAAATTTTAAAAATTGACAAACATTCAAAAAATGACAAATAATATTTAACACCAATCAAAATCTTAGAATAGAACCGAGGGATTGTTGATTTTCTTCTACATATTGCCTCTTTGTGATTATGTGTTACTTATATTAAATAAACATGAAAAATAATTTAGCCCCTAATTGACAACCATTTTTTGTAGAAAAATAAAGTTTTGAATAGTGATTTTTAGGAGAATATGTAGTTAAAAAGTAAGAATTTTTTTTGGATTTTCATGTAAAAAAATTTATCGTGTGAATGTTTGATTAAAAATGAGTATGAACAAAAAAGAGTTTGAAAAAAAGATTGTCAAACAAGGGTTTAATTTTAGGAATACGACATTCTATAAGTTGAAAATGATATAAATTCAAAAAAATTAACAAGAAACAAAAAAATGGACAAAAACTCATAAAATTTACATCCCTCACTGTTTCTCTCATCTGATTATAATAAGTAATTAATAAAAAATAATGTTGGAATGAATGTCATGTAAAGATTTGCTTAATGGAGAAATTGATTAACCTCATTAGTAATGAAAGAACGACGAGGATCCTCAATAATTTGGTGATAATGTACCGTCATAATTAAGAAACACTTAGGGTCTGTTCTCTTCGTCGTTTTTAAGCCGTTTTCTGTTTTCAATTTTCCAAAATACTGAAAACGCGTTCTCTTTTCCATTTTCGAAAACCCATTTTTGAAAACACAAAAAAAAATTTGTACTAAAACACAAAACATCATTTTTGACGTTTTGGACGTTTTCTGTACAAAACACGAAATAAGTTGAAAACGCGGAAAACAATCACCCAAATTAAAAAAAAAACTTTCATCTCCCCTCCCTCACATAGCCTCCCGTAAGCTACCTTCTGGCCACTATGGCCGCCAGATTCCACCACCACTAAACATACCTCACTGTCCTCTACAACATACACCCAACCGTCGGCAGCAAACTCACCGGAATCAGCAGAGAAAATAGTCCAAAAATAGAACTGTCGTACCCTTCTACTATCGGGAACTCTTGTTCCGGCGACACCCATGGTCACTCACCACCGCCGATTAGTATCCCTCACCCAGACAATCATAACCATGCCCATACTTCAACCAATGGATCTCCCAATCGATCAGAATCAAATCCTGCCAGTCGCACAGCTTACGGGTTCGAATGTGCAAACTTCAATTCATCCTCACCACTACATTGAATCACCAAATTTGTCCCAAACGAGTCTTCAGCAGCATTATACGACCATGGGTAGCATAACAATTACACCAATTGATCCAAAAACATCTTACACTATAAGTACAGTTAATATGTATGGCATTAGTTTCTCGAAATCTCATATTGCTAATGCATAATTCTTCTTGTTTGTAGCCTGTATGCACATGTTTGTAGTGGTTGTTTGTAGTGGTGGTGATTGGTTAATTGGTGGTGGCGATGGTAGGCAGTGGTGGTGGTCACTGGTTGATTGTAGTGGTTGTTTGTAGTGGTGGTGATTGGTTGATTGCAGTGGTTGTGTTGATTGCAACGATGGTGACTGGTTGTGTTGATTGCAGTGGAGTGGAAATTGCAGTGGTGGTGAATAATATTTCTGGTTGTGTTGATTGCGGTGGAGTGGAATTTGCAGCATAACTTAGCAGTGGATGGAGTTTCAGAATGGAGAAATCCTCAAGTTCAAGTTGGAGATGCTGTCAGTAAGTGTTTACTGCAATTATTTACAGCTACAAGTATAAAAACGGACCTGCATTTAATTTTGGGTTTTCTTGTTTTAACAGTTTTCCAGCACAAATACCAGTACAATCTCTACATTTTCCAGAGCCAAAATGCCTTCAGCCTTTGCAACTTTTCTCAAGCTACACTTCTCACCAAACCCAGTTCAACATCTTACACTGTAAGTAACAAAAGAACTTCAATTAGGCCATTTATTGGTCAATATTGTTTATAGTTAATTGGTTTGGGATTTAACTTGCTTGATGGTGACTCCTTTGAGCACATCAATATTGAATTCCTAATGCTCCTTTGAGTTTTAAATCGATTGTTTGAGTTTAATGGACTCTGATATCAAGATTCGGAAACATCCTCAGCAATTACTGGTGTTGTTAAATAGTTCACATGATGGACAGGACCATTTCACACAACACAATGCACGATATTAAATGCAAACATGTGATTACACCATTTAACACAATACAATCCACTGCTACCTAGACTATTGATGATCATTACCAATGATAGATAGCATTATTCTTTGCAATTAGGACGTTGATGATGGTGTTGGTTATTGGAATGCAGGTGCTCGGGTTTTCATTTTTTCAAAGAGCTTTGAGTTTGAGTTGTCCGATTTTGCTGATAATGGTCTAGAACTTGAACTTGAACTTGCGGCACTGGCAGCAGCCATGAATTTGAAGCATAACTTAGCAAAGATTCAGGCTGACGCCATGCCTGAACATTATGAAGCAGAATTGGAGACAAGTGATTTTCCACAAAATGCTCGTTGGAAGGTGACCCACAAGGAAAGTTGTTTATTTTGCACCTGGCTGGGTTCCAGGACCAGGGGAACAAAAGCTGTACTTGTTTATTGAGGGCCCTACTGAGCAATCTGTCAAGAGGGCAAAAGTTGAACTTAAACGTGCCTTGGAGGAAATAACAATGCAAGCTTCATCACTTCCTAGTTCAACGCAACCTGGCCGATATTCGGTTCTTTAATAGCAAGTCTTTCATTATTAGATGTTGATTAGTATCATTTTTTTTCTATATTGTGCCGTAGTTTGGGCATATTATACCAATTTCATTAATTATGTGTTAGATATCTTACTTTCAAGATCCTTCGTGAGAATGAGATTGATCATCTTGTTTCTTATAGACAGAAGCTCATTGGAATTTCTTTGTGCACATGATAATGTTACTACATTGTATATCTGGTGTCTGGAGGTAATTGAATGCTCGGGTAATCTGCTGAAGTTATGATAATGATAATGTTACTACAATGTTGATTCCAGGAAAATTAGCCAAATAAAGATTGCTGCTAGGTTCATAATTTGCAAATGAAGTGCACACAACTGTCATTTTCTCATCTTCTTGACCTGTGCTTGAACATTGTGGCTGAACTCATTTTATATTTCCTTACCAGTGGAAAATTACAAATTCTTGGGTGGATTTAATATTGTACAACGTAGTACAATATTGGTCACTTATATTTATTTCCAATATATATCACTAGTTTTACTCTTAACGACGGCAGTCCGCAAAATGGGGTATGGAATCCAGTTGTATGCCTGCAAGAGGTGCCTTGACTGACTCTTATTAGCTTGAGGATTAAATTCAGTCATAAAGTACTTATACAGTTTGTGATAATTTTATTTATGTTGTACTCCGTGGATTTATTTTGTATGTAGTTCAGTATCTGCTTATTTTGTTATGACACGTAAATTTCTAACAGTATCGATTGAACTGTTTCATCAAATGTAATTTAGGTTTCTTTTTAATATCTTGAAAAAAAAATTGACGTTTCACCAATTTCAAAATGTATATGTTATTTAATACTATATTAACATTAAACCATTATTATTTATTGAAAAATCAAATTTTCTTGAATGAAATATTCAAAACACAAAACTGAAACACGAAGAGAACGGCCCCTTATATTTTCTTGCCCTTTTGAAGAACTCTTGATATCCTCAAACATGCATAAAGCTGATGGTAGAGTCAAATTCTATATTAAAGAGATGAGCACACCTCAAAGGCTCAATGTAAGCCATGCACTCAACAACCAAATCAGAAAAAAGCTTGAATCTAATTCAAACTAATCAATTTTATTAATCTAACTCATCAAATGCAAAAGCAATGACAACAGTCGATAATAGATTTGTCAATGGATGATTACGCATGATGAGGAAGACAACCAGGCCCCTCCAGGATCATCAAGATCCCAAGCAATGTGCCTTAACATATTCCTCTATTCTCCACCGCATACATCTTAAATCACTCAACAAAATCCTTGCGACGGAACCAATATCAATGCAGGAATGGCATGATTTCCAAACAAAAGCAACAAGAATTGCTCCAAGACTTTACCCCACACTTGCAATTTCGCTGTATGTATTGCAAAAACTTGGAGAATGGACAATTTTGCAAAGAGTCATATTTGTATATATCTAGCTATCATCGCTTAGCTCATTCAAAACTAGGCGATACTTAACCGAATCTTTGCATTTCTCTCTCTAAAATTCGTAAACCAATTCAAAACAATGTTAAATATATCCACACATCACTTCATTCTCATCTTATTCTATCTTCAAAAAAAAAAAAAAATAATAATAATAATAACTAGAATGGCATAGCAATACCATCAAGGTCATGCCAGTAACACTTCCATAGTGCCTCCAACAGAGGCCAAAGAGTATAGATGTTTCGATTTTATGAGAAAAGATAGAAAGGAGAGATGATGGACCTTTCGAACTTGCTATCTGCGTATGACCTCGATGTCATAGTAGTCATTAGCTAGCTTCAAGCACTCGACCTCAACCCCCGCATCAGTCTCTTCAATTTGCAGGTTTTTGAAGTGATCATAGTCATTCAGTCTCGTAATCTTCATCTTTGTTGGTTGAAGCGGCTCCTTCACATGGTAAGGTGAGGTTTTCTCTCTACAAGAACATTGGAGTCGAAGTGGGCGTCGGAAGAGGTTTCTCAGGAGTTTTCTGATTTAGGGGTTTCCCCTTTCTGATTTGGGATTTTTTTTAATCAAGTTTTGAGGTTTTGAACGTAATTAATATGTAATAATAGCTTTAATTAGTTTTAAGGGTATAAATCAAAGATCTAATTTTTTAAGGGTAGTGAACCTAATTTTCCCATGATATTATACATCTATATTAGGCCTCTTAATATGGATAATCATTGGGATTGAACTCTCATTTTATGTCCAACAAAATGGGCCATTGACAAGCAACTCAACAACAGGTATAAAGCAAGTCAGATGACTTGGCCATCATCTTACGGTAGAGGCACGGCAAAGTGTCTTCATCCAATGACTGCAGTCCATTTGCAAAACTAAAATGCAACCAACCGAGCAAATAGCATCTTTAGTTATACCATGGTTACACTTCTCAACATATGACAAGTAAAAGGACAAACTATTTATCTCGTTTACTGCGCAGGTAAAACTTAAAAGTTTATAGTGTAACTGTTTATAAAAAAGATTGCCAACTAGTCAGATAAGTTCTGCCTTCAGGACTTAGCAATATATATTCAGTCAATCCTAAAAAAAAAATCCAAACAAACAAACAAACAATCGAAAAAAAGAAACATTTGAAAGATGAAAAGTATTTTTTTTATTTCAAAAATTGTTAAACTACTATTTAATCCTCTTTTAGATGGTTTTTTCACCTTGAATTTAAAAATAGAATATCACATCTGAAATAGATCAAACAAAAGTTCGTTCTGCGCATTTGTTAGCATAAACTTCTTCAAATATAACATTGCTCTTCAATTTAAGAGTTGTGCTAGGTGTACATCCCGACTGAGAGCCCTCTTATGGGGTGGAGCCCACAGCTCAAACAAAAGTTCATTCTGTGCATTTGTTAACATAGATTTCTTCAAATATAACATTACCCTTTAATTTAAGAGCTGTGCTAGGTGTACACAAAGTGTACACTCGGCATAAATCTTAATTTAAAGTATATTCATATTAATTAATTAATTCCTTGACTATTTCAGAGTACACAGTTGAACTCTTCACATTGTTCTTAGATAGATCAAATTGATTCTAACAGATTAACGAGGGTATTCTTGTACAGCTATCTTGAATGAATGAAGAAAATTAAGGTTTGTTATGTGA